TTGTGTTGGAGTTGGGGGTTCTAGATCTGGGCTTTTAACTGTTGATTAGATTTGCTAAGAAATTTTTTTTTTGTTTATTTTTGAGAGACAGACACAGTGTGAGTGGGGGAGGGGCCGAGAGAGAAGGAGACGCAGTATCTGAAGCAGGCTCCAGGCTCTGAGCTGTCAGCACAGAGCCTGATCCGTGGCTCCAACCCATGAACCGAACCCAGAACTGTGAAATCATGACCTCAACTGAAGTCAGACACTTAACCAGCTGAGCCACCCAGGCACCCCCTTACTCAGATTTCCAACCAAACCTGTTTTCTGCTCCATCCCTCACCCTCAGAGATTTCTGGCGCTTCCAAATCCTGTTTTTCCTGGTTTTGAGACTTGAATTGGCTTCTTTCTCATCCACCGGCCCTTCTACTCCACAGGGCCAGAGTTCAGTTTCTTAGTTCTGTTAAGTCAATTACCAGCCATCCGTCCATTTTCCATATTCCAAAATTTGGCTGACATCTAGACTCTGTGTTGACTCTCTTCCAGTATCTTTGCCTTGTAGGATTTACAGATGATTTTTTATTTCTCTGCTATCATTTTGGTGAGGTTTGGGAGGAGCAGAAGTTGTGCATTTACTCTGTCAAATCTAACCATCTCCTCAAAGTTTTCACTGTTTCCATCTGAAGTTCTGTTTTTTTATGTTGAAGAATCCTTCCATACTCCATCATAAAACTATTCACCTACAGTTTTTCCTAATTATTTTAAAAGGGTTTTTCCATGTAATCTAGTTTCTTTTAAGATGGGGTGGGAATTTTGAATCTAACTTTATTGGTTCTACATGATCTACGGTGTCCTTACATTACTAGAATAGCCTGCCCTTCTTTTCCTGATTGGTAGTGTCTCTACTATTACTTTAGAAATTTCCATATATGCTTGGGGCTGTTTCTGGGTTTTCCACTTTATTCTACTGATCTATTTATCTATTCCCAGGGCAATAATACTCAGAATTGCTCTATAAAAATCTCAGTACTTATTTTTAGATCTTTACTTTTCCATCTGAATTTTAGGATTGTTTTGTTAAGTTCTACAAAATATATCATTTAAGGGGTTTAGTTAGAATAATAAATGCTGCATAAGTGAATTCAAGGTGAATTTACATCTTTACAATTTTGATGTTTGTCATTTGTAAAAGTGATACATTTCACCATTTATGTAGGCCTTTTATTTCCTTAAATCCAGCTCTTCAGTTTTCTTGCACCATTTTGTTACATTTATTCCCAAGTAATGCACAATTTTGTTATTAATATGAATCATCTATTTTCCATTATATTTTAAAATTAGAGACAGCTGCTTACAGGAAAGCTGGAGTTTTGCATACTGTACTTGCTTCTAATAATCTTCTACACTCTTTTATTAATTCTAATATATTTGTTGATTCACTTGAACTTTTTACCCACATGATCCTATCATAGCAAATAAAGACATTTGTTTTCTTCCTAATTCCAATAGTTCTTTTCTTTTTTCTTTGTCTTGGTTAGGACCTCCACCCCATTTTTTAATTGTAGAGAGATGATAGTCATCCTTGCCTTTTCATTGATTATAATGAGAATACTTGTACCATTTCATCATTAAGCATAATGTTTGCTATACCTTTCTGGTAAAGGTCTCTTATTACATGTTTAGAAAGATTTTGTTGCTGGTTTTTCAAGAGCTTTTGTTTTTTCTATATAAGATTGCTAATTTTACCAAGTATTATTTTTTTTATCTCTTGAGATGATCTTTCTCTTTTGTCTACTTTTTTAAAAAAACTTTTTAACCACTTACATTGTATAATACATCACTAGATTTTCAGATTTGGACCATCTCTGCATTGGCCTTACCTTGTTTTTTACACTGTTGGATTCAGGATGTTAATTGTTTTCATCTAGGCTCAGAAGTATATTTAGTATAGTTTTCCTCTTTTTGTGCTATCTTTGTTGTCCAGTTTTGGCATCAACATTCTACCAGTCTGATTTTATTGTTTTCTAAACTTGAGTTTCTGGAAATACTTCATTAGAGTAAAAGAAGATGTGTGTGGGGTGGTGAGGGCGGGAGGAGGTGGAGGTAGTTTGCTGCCTTTTAAAATGTTCAAAAGATCTGTTTCATTCAATAACGTAAATATTTTAAGCTGGAAAATGTATTTTTTCATGGAAGTAAATGAAGCAATTCTTTTTTTGAATGAAAAAGGTGTGGCCTGCTTTTACTTTTCCCCAACTGACTTGCAAACAAAATGTAATTGCTCACTACTTATCTACATGATTGCAAATACTAAGTTGGAACTGAAAAAAAGTAGTGAATCATCCAGATGTTTCCAAATGTCTCTTTAGATTTGTTATGGTTTGATTAGGTAGATGTATCCTATGCTAGACAAGCTGTTCTTTATCTGGGATGGTCTAAGTGGGAAACATATTCCACAAAAATTTCCTGTATAAATCTTGTGTATTTTTAGTGTTGTTTACAAATGACTTCTGGAAAAAGTAAATACTATGAAAGTGAAGTTTCCCATAGTAGAGATTGGCAACATCTATCTTCTTCTTTCTTCTTTCTAATGAAATTTGTTAAATTATCCTTCCAACCATATGGTTCTTGCACAGTGTCAATTTTCAAATACACAAAGAAGGCTGAACGATTGCTCACCCACTATACCCTGAAAATGAAGTATTCAGAATTTATCTAGGGAAACATACTTCTCTTTTCTAAAGACAGAACCCAAAAATATTTAGCCATTTATCTTCTAAAAACCATGCAAAATGCATGTCCTCTCCATGTTTCCTGCTGATAATATTTTCCCCATTTGTAGTGCAACTTTTCTTTCCTCTGGAAAGCTGGTACTTATTTTATTCATAGATTGCAAATTATGCCCTGATCTGTTTAACCAAAAGGCATTACTCACACAAGCGGGAAGAATGTGGCTTAGGATTGAATCAGCATTGGCCATGGAAAACAGTACATTAAAACAGGCCTCACTGAGTCACGGACCATATGGCCTAGAGAGCATGGGTCCCAAACATCTCTGGACACAGGTCATATCTTCACACAGACATCACCAGCTGAGTTACTTTCAGAGGTCATTGATACCTGCGCTGTAACATGTCCAAGCTCAGCGGCTTACCAGACTATGAACTATTATTCTGTCGTTACAACCTGTGCAGATATGGGACATCCCCAGTAGCAAAATTGGTTGTGTTCCCAAAGTTTATTTCCAAATCATTCACTTGGGATCAGAAAACATTTTACCATAGGAACAAGTTTATAAACGGTGGTGCTCCACAAATGTCTGGTTGAGCCACAGTGTCCTTGAAATGCTGCATTGACTGTACTGTTCCCACCAGTCATTATTTATTCTGTTTCCCTGGGAAAGTGCATTCTGAGTTCTAACTTGGGATGCTTGCAGCTCACCTCTCCCTCTGCCTGGCAGCCTGCTCTGTAGCTTTTTTAGGCTATGCTGCAGTAGCAGTTGGGAAGAGGGGATGGGCAGCCTTCCCAAGAATGAGATGAGCATAGATGCCTTGCTATAGATGCCTCTGGGTAACTGGCTAATGCTGGAGGCCTGAAGAAGGAAACCACCCAGGTGGATCAATTACTTCCCAAGTCTTCAACCTAAAGAACAAAGGGCAGGCACTTGTTCTTAGGTAGAGATTATTTTCAAGTCAGATCTTCATAAATAGGCTTATACGGTAAAATCTAAGGCTTTTGGAGACCAAGCTGTGGACCTGTAGTTAGCCAGGGAAAATATTTTAAGTCTTCTTGGTCAGTGATGAGACAGTTTCCAAACACATGGTGATAAGGAGACGGTTTGAAACCTAGCACCTAGCTCCTGGCCTGACAAATAGTAAGTGCTCCTAATTTTATGTTGTTGTGACTGTTGAATTAAGTACTGATGGACGAAGTGGTGATTTCTTTACCAAAAAGTACAAGACCACAGGTTGTATGCACATATGGGCCAGTTAACTTCATTCTGATTCAGCATTGCCTAGTTCTGACCCTCTCATAGCACACATCCTACCAAGGAAGACTTGGTCGGTGTACTTTCAAGAAGTCGCTAGAACAGCAGTGCCATCTCTGTGGGCATACGCATCACCTCTACCAGTCCCAGAGGAGGTGCTGGTCTCTTCACGCCCTCTCTGTTGTGCAGTTGCTAGCAATGTCTCCTTGTTGCCAAATCCGAGGAGACAAAGGGGAGGTGGAGAGAGAGGTGATGTGGAAAACCAGGAGGCTCGCCAAGCCTGTAGGACCCTGCCTAGCTGAGTTTCTGGCACTACACTTATTCTGGAAAACATTACCTACTAAAAAAGACCTAAGCTTTTTTTGTCAGTTGTTTTTATAACACATGTAGACATAAATAGGGGGCTGTGCCTCTTTCAGGTTAGAATTTAGTCTGTACACCAGACCTGGGTCCTGGCCATTGCAAGCTTTAAAATTGTAGAACAACTTAATTTCATTTTGTATACACAGCTACTTTTCAAAGAAATATGCTATTAAGGCTCCCTCGATCAAAAAGCCTTCCCCACCCCCACCCCACTAAACATATGGACTATTAACTTCTCGTTTCATAGACCGTGCTTTCTTTTTTAAAGTTGCGCTTGTGTTCTACAAGACAGCCTCTTTCTCCAAGATTAACATTTCTTATGATTGTTCCTGACAATGGATTCACTTCCAGAGGCCTGCTAAGGATAACCAAAAAAGGGCATGTAGCTGGCTGGTTTTGGCAGCCTGCACGCAGTTTCAGAGCTTTTTAGGTCTTGGTTTTTCTGATGAGTGATTTCCTGAGCATGCCTAGGGAATGACAGGCATCTCCACAGGCAGGCTGCATCCACCTCGGCCGGGGTGTCGTCATTGGCTGCCTATTAGAAAAACTACAGGACAATGCATACCACCGACTGCCGACTGTAAACATAGGGGATATGTGTTCACTTAGCATGGACTTCTGGGAGGGGCTAAGGAAGGGCGGTCTGGAGTTTTATTGAATAGAGCAGTGTGTATTAGGCTGCCTGCCTGCCTGCCCTCTTGCTGTGCTCCTGCTGGAGAAATCAGTCCTTCCTTTCCGACTTAGTCCCCAGGAAGAAGTTGCAGCCTGAGAGGTAAGCCACCGAGGGCTTTCTTTTAATCTCTTCCGGAGAGTCTGGGGGCTTTCTCCGGGTTTCAGTCAGCATTCCTGCTTAAGGTAGCTGGAGATGCAAGATTGGAAAAGCCAATAAACCATGCAAATTCTCAGAGCCAGACTGGGCTTTGCTGCCCTGCAGATGTTCCCGGAAGAAAACAGGATGAGATTTCAAGTCCTGTTCTTGGAGCTGGGACGGGAGGAGGGATCACATAGAGACTTATACTCTGGGACCCCAACAACCTTGATAAGGAAAGCCTTTTGTTTGGGAGTGCGATGTGGATTCTACCTGATAGCCACAGGCCAGGGTCAGCAGGCGTCCCGTGCCAGTCTACCCACACCAGTGGTCTCGCCTGCATCTTTTTTTTTTTTTTTTTAACCAGAGATTTAAAGAGGTTTTGCTTTAGAAACAACAACTCTTTAGGTTAATGAGAAGCCAAAACGTAATGGTTCTTAACCAAAGGAATTTGCATATTATTCTGCTACCAGTATTTAAGACTGGACTTCTCGACCTGCAAGGAAATAAGGTCAGAGTTTGTGGAAAGAGCATTTAGCACCAGTTGGGTTAATGTAACTGATCTGATATTTGCCAAGACAGGAAGATGCCTACCAAGGTCTGTTTCCTATAAAACCTAATAAAGAGAGAATGCATGTGCTAGTGGGTGTGTTTTTAGAAATCGCATTTAACATCCTACCAAACTTTTTCTTCACAAATCTTATTTTTCTGTTTGAAATGTGCCCCTGACTAGAGAATTTGAAAAGATGTAGTTTGCAAGTGTGTTCCAGAAAGGGAGAAGCAGGCTTTCATTTCAAGATAGTCAGACATATTTGGGCATCTTAAACAGTAGTACAAGGCAGCCAGTTGGTAGTAGCCTAGAATTCCTTTTAGAAAGAGCTGATTGTAAAGGGTGGGGGCATTTTTGTGCTATGGTAATACATGGTCAAAAAAAGTGGATGAGAATAAAGTACTTGGTATTCATAGATCCCTTCTGTTAATAGGGCTATGCAGATGGACTTGTAAACTGGAATAGTATAATCTTTCTAATGTGTTTGGCAAAACCAGACGTGTATGGTTAGAGCTTGAGGGAGGACTAGGTGGTTGGTATGTGGCAAGAAGGGCAAGCCTGATAATTTTTAAATAAAGCTGGATATTAAAGGTTTCCAGCTCCAACCAACTGACTCCGTTTGACTTTATTCTGTCAAGTGAGGTGGCTTTGTGTTGAGATTCATTAAATGATCTTTTCTCTTTGTATTTAGAAGTTTGGGGATAATTTTCTTGAGAATGCCTCTCTCCTCCTAGAAGTGATATATGAGAACAGAGTTCCCTGTGAATTTTCCTGGAACAGTTCTGAGTAAGTGTGGGAGAAAGGGCTGCAAGCGAAGGCTATAGTTTGATTATTGTCCTTCCCTCAAAGAGATCAAGTTCCAAACTATTTTCACAGTGTTTTTAATGTCAATCAAAATATGGAGAGCAATTTCTTTTTCAACTGTTCTCTAAACCATGTAGGGAATGCAGTTTGGAAGGAAATCTATAATCTTGGGATTTGAGTATAAATTCCAGTTTGAAACCAAGATTTCCAAATCCCTGAAAGTTCAGACTTTGCTGCCACCACTCTCTCCTCTTTTCCTTGTGTGCTCCCCATCCCCCAACAACCACAAGAAGGCATTTTTTTGAAATAAGTGTTCTACTTCCTATAGTGATGTGATAGAGCAAGGGGATTTGATATTTTACTTTGTACTGAACTTTAGGCGGCTCTTTGTGCTACTTTCCTCCAGTTGAATATTTGCTAGAACATATCTCCTCAAATGGGGAGGTAAGTGGAGCACAATGAGACTGCAGTGCAAAAAAAAATCATTTTAAGAAAACTTTTTAATAAAGAGAAACACAGTGGCGAGGGTCTAGAACAAAAAGTCACTAATAAAAAATGGATCTCAGTACACACAAGGAATGTACAATGAATTGATCCATAGGTAATATTCTGGGTTGTTTCCATTGTTCAAAGCCAATGGAATAAATAGAATAAATTGAATAATTCAGATTGAAAAATTTCTTTAAATAAATACACAATTCTTGCATTAAAGAGAACAGGTTCAAATTGCAGCATAAAGGATTTAAATGAGATACATAAAGCTTGTCCTGATGGTGAGGCTATTAACAATTCTGATTGGCTTCTGTGACTGGCCTGAGGATTTCCTGCTCTGTGACAGATAATATAGGTTAGTCCTGGGTCCAACCTGGGTGGTCTCTAGTTTGAGAAGCCTAAAATGCACCTCAGTAGGACTTTTCCTTTTTAAGTTTATTTATTTGAGGAGAGAGAGAGAGAGAGACGACAAGCAGGGGAGGGGCAGAGAGAGAGAATCCCAAGCTGGCTTCATGCTGTCAGCACAGAGGCTGACGTGGGGCACAATCCCAGGAACTATGAAATCATGACCTGAGCTGAAACCAAGAGTCAGACACACTTAACTGACTGAGCCACCCAGGTGCCCTTCGGTAGGTCTTTTTTAAAAAACACACATAATTGTCATGGAGACAACCTCATGGTTGCATGGCTGTTCATCAGTGATTCTTTAGAAAGGCAGAAAAGTGACACAGAGGCGGGCATGTTAAGGCATTAGCTAGATCCCCATCTGCCTGCAGTCTATCACGTGTCTTGGAAATGTGCTGGGGTGAGGCCATGGTGGGGGGACAGGGGAAAATGCTGACCAAATGGTATGCAAATAGCATGGTAGGCCTAAGGAGGAGGTTAGATGTTGCCAAAGAATTTTCAGAGTTTAAAAGAGTTATCTGGGTAAATTCTCTTAGAGCCTAAAAATAGAACTATTAGATACTTCCTGAAAGTCCTTCATCTATGAAGCTAATCCAAGTTTGCCTTTAGAGAGATGCCCATAGGTTCTGAGTCCTTGGGTAATTGAAGGAGATACTTGTAGTTCGGGCTTAACTTAGGAGCCCCACCATGAGAGCTCAGTCCCAGCACTAGTTCCCTTCTCAGATAGCCCAGACCTTTGAGGAAGCCATCAACTCTTCGACCTCATGGGTGGAATGGGCATTCTGCTGCTTCTCCTACCTCGCATAGTAGTTAAGATGTCCAAATGAGATGAGGCTGTTTGCCCCTCTTTGCTGTAGGCTATATGCTTCAACATGTGTGCAGTCTGAGGCCTCTGGACATTATGTTCATCTTGACTGGTACCCTCCACTTCTTACCTAGTATCCCTGATTATCTGTTCCTTCCTCATAATTGAGGACCCTTGAGTGGTCCCTCCTGAATCCTAAATCTTTCTAGAACCCTGAGCTCAGAGTCCAGGGAATACTGGTCCACCCCAGTATTGTCTAAATTTTGGCCTTGGTGATCAGTGACCAAGAGAACACAAGTATCAGGAGGCAGAATAAGGTGGGTCGTCAGTGGTGCAAGGCCCTATCCAGGAACCAAGAAGTCTGAAGATCTAGTTGAGTAGAAGACCAATGACAAGGTGCTGACAACAGAAAGGCCTTAGTAAATGAGGCAGCTTCTTTGCCTCTAGCCAAAAGCATGGAACTAATCCCAGCATGTCAAGCCCGGGCCTCGCAGAGAGGGTGAGGTAATCAGGAGCACCTGGCTGTGGTTCCTGTTGGTATTGAGAGCAGACTGCTCCATGGATCTAGCCTCTTCTCCTCTGTTTCCCTCAGTCTTTAGCATCCCCAGCTGGCTCTCTTGTGACTGACCCCTGGTGGCCTCTCTAACTTCCCTACCTCCGGTCCTCTATCTCTCCCAGCTTCCCTAGCCCCTCCCTCCAATCCACACAAGGGCTTTCCTGATCCAACACTGACAATTTGCAATGCCCCAGCTTTAGGATGAAGCCCAGAGAACAGCAGAAGGGTCAAGATAGGGGAAGACCTCTTCAATTTTTTGAGGCAGAGCGGGGAAAAGTTACAGCAGCCAGAGTAGATGTTGGAGCAGCCTCTCTGGAGACGAGTCACTCTGCTTTTCACCCCCAAACTCACCTTTGGCTGGCAGTGAGTGGTGTGGGAGGAGGGCAGGAAGGAAAGGATGGATGTGGGCATGTAGGGAGGTGAGGGGGCAGCCCTGGCAGTTCTTCCCTGCGTTACTGCCATGGATACCTTTGAAACTTGATAAAAACTCTAAGCCCTCAAGGTCCTTTGTGAACCCACCTTTTGTGATTGGCAGGTGAGAAGCCCTGAGCCTGGGGAGGATGGGCTGGGGAGTGAGGTAAGGTCTTGATTTCCATTGGAGATAAAGGTGGATGGGAACAGAGCATGGGTGGAGGTGTCCCTTCCTGTTTGCGAGACTTTCTGAAGGAAGAAAGGATGGTGTAAATACACAGATACATGGAAGGAGATGACGTCATATGGCCTCCATTTCAAAGAAAGGGAGATCATCTCTAGAGAAGCAGTTTTCGGTGGGGAGCTTGTGGGGACTGGAGAGGCTGGGGACGGCTCCGGAGATGCTGAGAGAACACTAAGAGCTTAATAAAAGGAGTGCTAAGCAGAGGTCAAGGAGTAGTTGGAGGAAAATAAATATTAGGGGGGAGGGGTATTTTAAATGAACTGACTATTCTTAGTAAGCACTCATTTAGTACATGGGTTTTCTTTAAATACAAATATAGTATGTGTGTATGAATCTCTCTCTCTCACTGAAATATATATATATTTACATATTTACATATATATATATATTTCAGTGGTGGATAACTAGAAGATAAATTCCTTTTTAATCATTCCCTGAGGCTTCTGGCATTGTTTTGTGAATATACAGATGAAAACATTGGCTGTAAGGAAAACATCTTACTTGGAGAGGGACATATTAAGTAGGAATTTATAATTAGTTCCTTTCACACCCACATATAACATTCCCTCTCCTTTGTTTCAATCTGGAGAACTAGGCAGACCTCACCTGTGCCCTAAAAGATGGGTAGGACCAGGGCAAAGTGCCCAAGAGTCCAGGGACCAGAAGCATCAAGGACGTGAGTTCCACAGGGGTGGATGTAAAGTATAACCACGGACTAACATGTGGATCACAGCCCACTGAATAAAAGGAAAACAGCAAAAACCAGAAGGCAGGCAGAGGTTTAGAGACCAAGAGCCAGCACAGCAAGGCAGCGTGCAGATGGTACAGTAACATGGGTGAGAGTACCTGGCACTGCACTCAGAACAAATAGAATCTGTTACTAGGCTTCGGTAGTTCAAAGGAAGGGACAGGATTCTAAGACACAAATGGCCTATTAAAGGGATGGGATCACAAGGAAATCCAAGAACAGAAGCCATGTTAGGCTGGGGTCCAAAGAGAATGGGGTTGAAATCAAGGTGGGTACAAGTATCTCAGCAGAGGCCTCTGTGCCTCTATTAATGTAACTCAGCTGAAGCACATGTGGCTGCTTCTTCCTGTTGTTCTACAGACTAGAAAATTCCTTCTGTGCTTCCCGATCAGATTCTGAGACAGGAGACCTGACTGGTTCATCTGATAACTATTGTCTTTGGCAAATCCCTTAACAGGAGAAGGTATCAGAGGTTACTGGAATGCTTATGGTTGAATTCCCAGTGGGTCTGGAGCAGTAGACATCGTCACCCCTGGAGAAAATAAAAAGGCCAGTGGCCAATTTTTCTTAGAAGAGAAAGTTAGGCATGGAAGGCAAATTAGCTTAAATGTCCAACAGCTATCAATGAAGGTCATTCTGATTTTCATATGACTGAATTTCTGGAGGGGCATACACTCAGTGTCAAGGTCATACAGTATTTGAAGACCATTCTGGCATTGCCCGGTGAACCAATCTTAAAGGAGGTTAGCTTGGAAGCTTGCACCACTGATAATTGAAAAAATAAGAATTACCCATTTGAGAAAGATTCTAAAGAAAAACCGTTGAGTGTTTTTGTTGGCAAGAAACTTCATATGAGTCATAGGTGTGCTATGCCTCCCCCCAAACTAAGGCAATCTTTAAAATTCAATAAATAATGACTTAATAATTGTAATAAATAAAAACTGCTACCTCTCAATGTAAATGACAGTACTTCATAAGCTTAATGCATAAAAGCTAGCATACTCAGTGGAAGTTTCAGTGCTAAGCAGTGTTTGTAGTGTGATCTTTCATTCACTGAACACCTGTATGAGGGCTGTCACGGGAAGTAAAAAAACCAAACCAAACCAAAACAATGTGCTCTACTCTTGGCTTGTTCCTCAGAGAAGCGTTCACAAATATGCTTCTTGGAATGAGTATCAAAGGCGGTCCAGGAGGGTCAGGAGAACAGAATATAAGGAACAGATAAGGGATCTAGAGCTGTTAATCCCAAAGGAAGGAGAATTAGGGGCCACATGGATGTCTTCGAATATTTGGAGTACTTTTATATGGAGAAGGGAGAAGT